GATTTTTGGAGTGAGAAAACCTGAGGGTTTTTTCTTCTTTGAGAATAGCTTGCGAGCTATGTCCCCCATCTTTTCTCTTCTCTATAGCTTGCGAGCTATGTCCCCCCATCTTTTCTCTTCTCTATAGCTTGCGAGCTATGTTTCATCTCGGCTTCCAATCTCTTTCTTCTAGCCGCAAGTGATCATCCCACCTGTATCCTTCTTCTCAAGGAAATGTAGTTTTAGGAGTTTATGTTTTGAAAGTTTGTAAGTCCTTTTGTAAGCGTCTTGTAAGTGTCCTTTATTATAAGCGTCATATTTTATTTATAAAGTTTGTCTTGTCGTATTTTGCCTAATTTTGAGAATTTTGTGCATTTTCTTTATCCTAGAAAGTATCTCATTTGCTCGCAAACATTTGGGACTTTTCCCAAAATTTTGCTTGCATCAAGAAGATTCACTCGACTCATTGGATTAAGTATTAACAAAGAGTTACTCAAAGGCTCTTTTATTCTTTTTGCAAAACAGACACCAATCACACATAATTAACATTTTATCTATTTCATTTGCTAAGAAAGGAGGCCACTTCTAGACCCACAAGCCCACAATTAAACTAATTCAACTCCAAATGGGTCGAAACTAATAAAAATATTAAATTGGTTATATCATTTAATTAGTTGCAATTCTTCCTGAAACAAATCCAACATCAGGCTTCAGATCAGCTTTAGGGAATTTTCAAAACACATCAGTTCATCATCAACATCTTCATTATCCATATCACAACAATGTGGTTATTCATATCAATAACTAAGGAATTACTTAAAGCAAATTAGAAAAAAAAAAGTATGCATCTAATGCGGTGCCATTTATTTCTTCCAGTTCTTAGTTACAGCGCTGCAAATACATGAAACTAAAAAACACTAAAAACTAAACTTGTATAGCAAACCCATTAGAGTACTTGGGAGTATAAAAAACCATGTGCACCATTTTAATTAGGTAACAGGGACACTGTTGGTTCACCAAATCACCTCCTAAACACATTACTGATTGGAATGCAACATATCAAAAACAGCACTGGTGCAAGGTCTAACCCTAGAACGCTGGGAAACAATAAGAGAAAGACACGTAAAAAATGGAGGCTTAATAACTATCGAGTGGATACTAAATTCAGAGACACAAATGGAACCGAGATTGTAGACGAAATCCAACAGAAAAATAAATTAATAAAAACAAATGAACAAAGCACTATACCGCCTTGCGAAGCTTCTTGATGAGAGCCATGGGCTTCCTCTTCAGACCTCGCTGAAACCTAAAATTAGAAATCAAAGAAAATTACGCAAATATGCATGAAATCGCCCGTAATGCCAAAAAGATGGAAGCGCAGGAGTTCAACCTTCTACGAGCGCGGGCGGGGAAGAGCTTAACAAGCTCATCGGTGCCCATATCCAGGAGCTGGTCAAGATCAACCCCTCTGTATGAGAACTTCCTAAAAGTTCTCTTCTTGGGCTGCGCTCCGCCTACATCAACAGCATCCGAGATGTCCGCCTTTGCGACCAAAAAAAGCGTTGCAATCATAATGGGTTTAACAGTGAAGATTCCTACAAAGAAAATCGACCACAAAGAAGGATCCGAAACTCACCATGGCTACCGAGCTTCGTTAGATTGTCGCGAGAATGCTGCCGCTGATAAGCTAGGGTTAGGGCTTCAGTAGCGAGGGTCGAAAAAAGTTGCTTCCCTTTTATAGCTGATTTGCGTTTTCATCCGAATGCCCGATATATCCTTATTTTAGCACCGCAAACTATGATACAAACTTAAGGGTAAAATTGTATTTTCATGTTAATCCCCGAATGGATTGCATCAGTTGTAACTTGTAAGTGCTAATATGATTGTGGCCAGAGTATTTGCATTGTAGAAAATATACTTTGTATGAGAAATTATTCTTAGTGGAGTTGACTATACACTTTATGTATAATTTTTTTTACAATATAAATTAAATTTTTATAGACACAGTGGTACATTCATAATTCGGACTATTCTTCCCATCCGAATTCTGCACATAATAATTTCTCCTTTGTATGAGCAATAAAATTTTTACGCGTGCTAGAAAAAGTTCTTCTCCATTCAATTGCCAAAAAAAAATTGGGCTAAGTTAAGTTAGTTATTTTCAAGCAAGTCAATGCGATGATGAGCAGTAAAGTCAAAGAATGTTGGTATTTTATGTCAATGACATGTATTGGTCCTATAGGAGATGGTGTTCATCAATGTTATTATCTATGACAGACGATGCAGATGATTGTCAGCATTTGTGTCGACAATGAAGGATCAAGTTAGTGAGAGTCAATATTTGTGGCAATTGCATATATTGGCCCTATAGGCTATAGTGTACATCAATGTTTTGGCCTTGATGAGATGATGTGTATCGACATTATTACCAGCAAAGTTATTATTACCAGCAAAATTATGGGGCAATGGTGGTTTTGTGGCCATAATGGGGTAATGGTGGTTGCTGGCAAGGCTTGTCGGCATAGAATGCCAGTTGTTGCTCTAAAAATTTTAAGACCTCAAAGCTATTTGCAATTTTAAGCATAGGTCTATGAAGAACAATGTCTATTTATAAATTTAATAATTTTAGCAAAATATTCAAAACATTTTTTTGGATGGATCATATTGATTCCAAAAATCATAAATAATGCTTTCAACATGTAAATCCTTTAATGTGAAAAATATTGCAGAAAATAATTTACTAGCCTAAACATTTCACGTTTATTGAAAATAATAACTAAACAATAATTGTGGTTACAGCTTGAAAAATAAAACAATAAAAAAATTATCCCAAACAAAATCTTAACCTTCATTTGAGATAACTTTTGGTTACTACTTTTCACTACTTATGACAAAATGTTGTACTAAAAATTTATGATAGAAAGCAATAAAAAAACTGTCCCAAACATTGCCTTAATAATAAAACATCAAAAATATATTATTTAAACAGTTGAATAATCATCAAATTTTTACTAAAATTATATATTAAGAATCCATTAAATTTCATTTATGTTTTAATTTGAACCGATTAAATAAACGTAATTGTTTAATATCATAAACATATCTCCCAACAGAGAACAGTAATCCTTAAAAGTAGCTACGAAGCTTCAATTTGATCATAGAAAACCACAACTCCCTCTGCAAATAGCAAGTACCCTACTTGATTTCATACCAAAATGAAGGCATTGCTCCCTCTGAAAACAAAGATAGCTTTTCCAGCCAAGCATTTACTATATTTTCGTTTACATGATTCTATGTTTATACCAATGGCAAAAACATTGAAGATAAACAGACCAAATTGAAGAAAAAAATTTACTGTTTCTAGAGCATAGTGTAGTAGAGTTACAGGGTAAAGGCTTTTCATGGCCTCTTCATGATCCAAAGTTGTTTTCACCTAAATTCCATTGAGAGTAATTACAATTTGTCGAGGTGTTCCATGGTCGCGATGCTCGCACAACCAAATGCCCTGTTATACATGAGAAGAAAGATTATTAAATAATTGTTTGGTTGAATGTTTGTAAAGTACATGCATTTTAGACATACAAAATCACTGAAATACATAACATTTTAAAAATACAAGAGTTCTTTGATTGGATGCAGATTGAATACAATGAATTATTTGTTTATTTGCGTGTTTGTTATGACACATTTTAAATGAAATGAAATGGGACGAGGGCAGGTGGTAGCGAGTGGGAATCACAAATAGGCTTAGCTCGAGAGATTTGGGTGATTTTCAAATGTATGAAAAATAAAGATTTTGAGGTATTTTCAAATCTCTAAAAATGCTACCAACCAAATAGCCACAAGTAAAATTTAACTTTATAATTCATTTAGGTGAAATTATTCTGTGCGGTCACCGAATAATTGTGAAATTATTTTGTGCGGTCACTGAACGACATCCAGATGCAAATCAGAACGAGCCACGTCATTTTTTGATGTGTACCGCTCAGTACCGGGCGATGTGGAGCATTCTAATTTGCCTCTGAACCGTTCGGTGATAGCATAGAAAATTTCTCCTAAGAGAGTCTCCAACCGAAAATCCCATTTTTCACTTCAAAATGCAGTGAAACTAAAAAATGCCATGATTCATCTCCAATCGAACTCCATTTTGTGCGCTTCTGCGAAGATAACCGCCTTTCTCCTCATTTGTGGTTTCTTCGGCAAATCCAGTTGAGATAGGAAAATTGTGTATGTGAACAGTGCCACGCCAATATTGGCGTCGCACTGTTCACCCGCAAGCAAATAGCGGAAGATTTTGACGTTCGGCTGGAGCGACCATACGCATGTTCGGCATTCGGTTGGACATGCTCTAACAATGGCAGCTGCATTCTCTTAAAGACATGCAGCTTAAAGTGAACATTACATTTGTTTGAAACTTTTAGCATTTTGATGCATGCATATGGCAGAAATAAATAAGTTCACCTGCCAAGTTCCCATATTTAGACGACCATTAGTAATTGGAATCCTGCAATCAATGCACTTATATAAAATTATATTTGTTTTTGGAAGAAATAGATGAAAACATGTAGAGAGAAATTAAAAAACATACGTGAGGGCACAACCAAACATTGATGATTTAATGTGCGCTGGCATGTCATCAGGCCCTGAGAAATAGCATTTAGACAGTTCAGATGCATAACACAAAGCTGGAAGAACATAGTAGGAAAGCTACTGACAAACTAGGCAATATTTTATTCTGGTTTATTATGGATTCTTAAAGAGGCTACTAGGTTCATGTGAAGCAAAATAGAGAGTTTTAGAGGATAGATTGTAATAAACAAAATTTAGTCTATATCTCAGGTCAAGACTTTTTATGTGTACAACCTTCTTGGTTAGCTTTCGCTCCCATCTCCCCTCCCGATAAAAAAATATAGCTAATATTAATCATGAACCACAATCTTAGGGAGTTATGACTAAGATAATATAGCTTTAAATTAGACAGCTTTTGCTATAGTTGATACGTGCTCCAAAAATTATCTTGATCGGGCACGAATCCCGAGGCAAAAGCTAGTTGGAAACTTCAAAAATAAATTTTGGGAGCACCCGAACTCCGATTTCAGCGAGCTTATAGTCAAACTGAGCGTCTCGGAAATACGAACCCAACGACACCAAATTCAACTCAATCCGAGTCCAAATGAGTCCGAATCAAGGACCCGAAGCGCTGTTGGAAGGGTCAAACCGCAATTTGAGTTACCAAACGGTCTCCGATTTTGATCATTTCTATTTCCTGCTTGTGTGCTGAATACTCGTACAACGCTACGACGTAAATTTATAAACTCTACCGCCGCGTATATTCTAGCACGCAACAATAGTTATGAGTATTGAATGAGGTTCTATGTGCTCTACATATGAATTTTAGTTCTTGTGGATGAGCCCTAGCTATGATAGTTTGGCATTTTATCAAAACAATCATGATTTGCCTAATCTAAGACGATCCCTTGATAACTCAAGGTAGAATGAAATATCCCATAAGAGAATTCATTATCATCCCTGATGGCTGAATATATGTTTGTTAAGCTTGAGATCAGTTTCCCATAGCATACACAGTGCTTGGCCATGTATTTCAGTGTAGTTGATATTGCATTACAACTTCAAAGACTAGCAAGTGCAAGTTTCACATCACTAAAGGAGATAACGATGCGAATTTGTATAACCCCTTAAGGATGGAGACTAAACCGGAGATATATCACCACTAGAGTGAACATTAATCCCATCAGATATCACCTTTTAAGGTGGAAGTTAAAGCTAATGATGTGTCATTGCTTAAGTTGGAAGGTGAAGCTGATGAAGTATTACCCATTAGGGTGAAATTTGAATATCATAACGCAACATCCATTGAGTAGGAGCTGAAGTTAGCTTTGCGTTACCCCCTTTGGACGAAAACCATTGTTGATGCCTTGCTACCTTTTTTAATCCAGTGAATACCATCTTCGTGTTAGTGTAGATTATTGAATCTTTCCAGATTAGCTCCATAAATTCCTCCATGCTTTGAATGCTTTGACACATTTATCAAGTCAAGAAGCTTTCTATTTGCCTTGGCACGACTCTGAAGAGAAGGCACATTTGATGTCAATCTTATTAAACCAAAGGTTGGTTTCCCCATTCAAAGAGAAGGACTTCTCAATCAAAATTATAGATAAAATTTTCAATAAAGGGAGATATGTACCGGCTTTCAGATCACAGAGACAAAAGAAACTTCCTGATCCATGAAGTCACATTCTACCAAATGCCATGGGAGAATGTGGGGTGACTTATACCGCAACAAAAAACTGTGAGCTGCGTCCCGCTAATGTCATAATGGGATGTGGTGTGACTTGCGCTATCAGAAAGAGAATGAAGCACTCTCCAACAAAGTAAAAGCAGCACAATGTGAAGATAAAACATGGGAGATGATCAAAGAACATTAGAGACATAGGAAAGGAAAGAAAAGAAGTAGAGATGGAGGGGAAAACAGAAGAAGAAGGAGAAGAACAAAGAAGAAGGAGAAGAAGTAAAGAAGTAGAAGTAGAAGAATAAAGAAGAAGTGGAAATAGCAGAGAAGGAGAATTAGAAGAAGAAGTGAAAGTTACCTACATCAAATAGGAGAGCTGGCGGCTAGGGTATAGGAGGCGAACAAGTCCGACGGTTGGAGCAGATGTTCGGCCTCTTCTTGGGCATGCGACTCAAGGAGACCGAAGAGGAGAGGGGTTCATCTTGAGGTCCTGGAGCTGGGGTTCCAAACAGGGAGGGGCGATAGGTCGTGTCCGATCCAAAGGAGAAGAAGAGGGGCGGAAGCCCTGGTTTGTGCGAATGTAGAGGGAGACGGAGAAGGGAAGGGGTGCGAATGTCTTAGCAAAAATAAGAGGGGGGGGGGGAGAAGGAAAAGAGAAGGGGGGGGGGGGGGGGGGGGGGGGGGGTTCTCGACTTCTAGTGCGAATGGGAGAGCCTCGAGCGCGAATGCCTTGAGTAGAATGCTTCGTCAATTACTTCAACCCCGCTCTTCGACGCTCTGCTCTACTTCAAAGCATCAAAATGGCACTGTCCCGCCTAATCCTTCGCTCAAGCCAACTAGAAAAAATACCGGAACAAGAGGTCACGTGACTGCACACTGCAATAGCGGCAGGTTTCAAATTTCAGAATATTCGGAGCCGTTAGATCAAAAAGATTCAAATGTTAGGAAAAGTCAAATGGATTTTAATTGGAATTAAATTGGGTTGATTAGACCAAAATCAGGTTCAAATTGAGCTAGGTTTGAGTCAATTCGCATCGATTTGGATTCAATTAGGTTCAATTATATTAATTTGATGGAATCAAATTGAAGTTGTCGTCAGCTGAAATTAAATCGGGCTCGGCGGGGTCAATATGTGTTGATCTAGATCAGCCAAGTGTCGTCGAGTCAAATTCGACTCTATCCGAGTCAATTTCAAATCGAGTTCTAATTGACAACGATTCGAGTCGAACTCAACTCATTGAGACTCGATTGAGTCGATCAGACACAGTCGAGCCCACTTGGGCCCAAATCTAGCTCAATCGAACAACAACCAGTACACTCAAGAGCCTAAGCGCGAAAAACAAGGTCAACATCAACCATTAACTCTAGAATCTAATTGCCACACTTACTTTCCTTAAGTAGGGCATATAAATCACCAACTTGAGTTTCAAGATCGATGGCCCTCTACCCTAATGGAGACATTCTTTGCCTTACACAAGGGAATCTAAACCCCTATAGCTATCACTCCATCGATAATTTTGCATCCTCTCATTGGCTAGTATATAAATCCTAGTGTTTATCAACTCTCCTAAAACATTAAACTCACAGATGTTTAAAGGTTCCCCAACTAAGTGATTGACAAAATCGTCACAGAAAATTACACAATCATTATACTCTGTGTTAGTGACCTGTGTAATGAATTTCCCTCAATAATTATTTCCACCAAAATCAAAGCCTTTTTTCTTACACATATCAAGTGGTTTCCCAACTGATTCTAGATCTCCAAAGACATTTGCCTTAGCAGAAACATTAGTTGTACAGCTCCCCTTATGCAGTGTTGCCAAAAGCATGAATCTCAGCATATTATTAATCGTCTCCATTGTTGACATTGGAACAGTAATGGTGGGCAACATGCTAAGTATAATGGAAGAAAGACTTGCGCCTCCCATCTTCACCTGAAGGATGGCGATCACCAAGAAAGACTTAAGAGAAGCCATCATTGAAGAGGATGGGGATGGTTGAGAAAGAGGAAAAGGGAAGTATTTTGTGAGTCTTAGAAGACTGGCGTTCCGAAAACCGTTAAACTAAAATATGTTTTAGGAATAAGAGAGTATGTGAACACCAAAAACCATCACATCTTCGAAAACCATTTTGAAATCAACATGTGTGCACTCAATAGTACAAGAAGCCTTAGAGGATAATCTGAGATAAATTAATCTAAAGACACTTATTGTCAATGCAAAGTCATTCTTAGGTCAGGTGATTACGGCTCCATTTGGTCTATTAACCACATTTGTCCGACGTCTACCCAGGCCCATATAATTGGCATTTTGACCTAACTTAATGGTTCAATATAGCCATATAGGATGATGCCAATAGCTTCACAATATGTGAACTCACAAAGGTGCTAAATAATGAGTGATAGCAGGACTAGGAACATTCTCAAAAGACAAACACAAGTAATACAAACCTCTTTGAATTACTCCAACTGATGAATTATATATACTAAACAATATGACTAAATACATTATAATTTCCAAAAAACCAAATGTCATCTTATCTACCAAATAATATATCCACTCAATCAAAAGTTAACTACTTGACCCACCTAAACAAGCTTATTGATATCTCACATAACTATAAAGGGAATGGATTCTGTTAACTTATGGAGAATTCGAGAAATGAAATGAGATAATTTCATCCCGATGAGACTGCCCATGTTTCTTCTTTTAATTCCACTTCAAAAGCATCTTCTTGAGCAACTTGATCACTAGGCTCCCCATCTAAACTCAAAAATGAAATTTCCACAAGGAGGCATGCATGCTCACTGGAAAATATGGAGCCACTAGACTAAGATAGTCATGTGCCGTGAATCCACATGCCAAACACTGAGAGGTCCATTGTCATTCCACATACCATGATAAGTGAGATCTATTGGTATGTTGATGCTACAAAAATAGTCTATCAAAAAGTAAATTTGCATAATTGCCCTTCTCTAAATGGTCAGTTACATCTCTTATCTTTGGCCCTTGTTCTTCTCTAAATCCTGTGTACGCGTATGTGTTCAAGACCTACTTGCGGACCCAAGACCACATGGCTTTTTTTCACGCCAACATCTAGAAAATAGTCTCCTCTCTTACTATATTTTTAATCATTTCTAAAAGAAATGTTAAATACAGTGTGAAATACGAACTTCCTGCTCTCCAAGCTTTAGGGTAGAGAAGAATAAGTGGCAAGTGAAATTCATGGAAAAGAATTGATTTGTAGGTGGAAGGAAGCTTCTTTGTTTTGACAAATTTGATAATCATGCTTTATAGTTGAAATCAGCACAAATCCACCATTCCATGAAAAATCCCAAACTTAATCATATTTCATTGAGGAAATAAAAAAGGAATTGATAACAAAAAGTCATAAAGCAGGGAATCACACGAATATGAAATATTTTCAGTTGTGCCCAACTTATCACCTCGTATGTCAAATATGTTTAGCTCCTAAGCAATAAAATAAAGATTCTAATTTTAATTTATAACCAAATGTGGGAGATATATAGTGAGCCTTGACCCCTGTAGGATGGTAGCAACCAGCAAAATTCAATAAGAGACTATAGCTCATGAGAATTTAAGAAATATAACAATAGAAATGTAAGTCACTAATTGAAGTCTAAACGCAGACATTTCATATATATTTATCCATTTTTTGAAACACGGGGAATGATATAATATATTTTACTGGGGAGATTCATAACCCTAATCTTCTCTTTCAAAAGGTAGGTGCACACTGCGAGAGATGATAGAGGTTGTCATATTATATAAACATCCTACTGGTAATTGTTAGGAAATAAATTCGAACTTAACACTGAGACGTCCAACGTTAATCAACAATCATAAAGAAAATTAAATACCGACAATCAGTATAATAGCAGTTTTACATGTCGAAAAGAGAAACACCAATGCTTATGGAGTGCATTTAAATCTGGCATGTAAAAAAGGGGCTCATGAATGGAAACACCAAGCAACTATCACCTTCCAGAGTATGCTTCCACGGTGCAGACCAACCCTGAAAGGAACCAATCAAAATAAAATAAGATAGAGAGTCAGATTAGATATTATCTGGACTCATAATGAAATGAAAGCGTGTAAGTGAAAAAACCTCTGGAACAACTTGGTTCAAAAAAGTTTCAGTGTCATGCCTAACATCTGAGTCACAGTTCTCGTTTATTGTAAGGGAGGCACTTGTATGATGCACTGAAAAAAAAAAACAGCTATAGATTTAGAAATAGAAGACATATCAATCAAAGTTGAACCATCAGCATATAAAAGAGAAAAACTTTATAGCTCACAGAAAAGGTGAGCAAGCCCACATTCGAAACCCGACAGATCTTGCTCGATCGCCTTAACTATCTGACAGAAAGAACCAATCAAGCAGCATAAACTTGGTTAGAGAAAACCATAAGAACGAAAAATTATATGGAAGTTTGGAACCCCCCAAAAACTAGTTTAAAAATTATATATATCAAGTCTACATATTGGTACAGCAGCAAAGTAGCACCAGTTCGCAGCTTTGTTTAGCAGTAACTTAAAATCTCCAATCAAGTACTTGATATAAGAATACGGTACAGGCAGAGAAAGAACTGAAGATGAACTTTAGTTATGAAGCTTCATTAATTCATGGTACTGTTTACAGGGTATATATAAGCTTAAGAGGAGACATCCTGTAACAGTGGACAGGTGCTTTTATAGACTAAAGTTCCCTGTGAGCACAGCCAAAAGCCTGGAGCGTGGAGTGGATGAGCCGAAAGCCAATGTGGTTTAACACCGCCCCTCAAACGAAGCATCCAGTCGCTGGATGGTGAGTTTGGTGCGCAGCTCGCTGAATTGCTTAGGAGGAAGTGCCTTTGTTAGCAAATCCGCAGGTTGGTCTTGAGAGGAGATGTGATGAACTGTGATTTCATTGGCGCCGATGCGATCTCTAATGAAATGATAGTCTATTTCAATGTGCTTGGTGCGAGCGTGGAAGACTGGATTGTTGGCTAATGCCATGGCTGAAATATTGTCACAATGAAGAGGTGTTGGTGAATGCTGAGGAGCATGAAAGTCTGCTAGCAGACGGCGTAACCATACTATGTCCATGGAAGCTGATGCTAAAGCTCGGTATTCGGCTTCAGTGGATGACTTGGCGACCGTTGGTTGCTTTTTGACACTCCAAGAGATGAGGGTGCTGCCGAGGTAGGAGCAGTGGCCAATGGTGGACCTGCGATCGGAGGGGTCAGAGGCCTAGTCGGCATCCGAGTATGAACGTAGAGTGAGATCGCCAGTGGTGACGGGGAGACCAAAGTCGAGGGTACCCTTTATATAGCGGAGGAGACGTTTTAGTTTTTGAAAGTGGAAGTTAAGTGGTTGATGCATAGCTTGAGAGAGGAGATTAGTGGTGAAGGCAATATCCGACCTGGTTATAGTGAGGTACTGTAAGGAACCGAGGATTGCTCTGAATAGTTTGGGATCAGAAACAGGTAAGGAACTGTCGGTGGCTGGTTTTGTGTAAACGGAGAGAGGTGTGGGGGCTGGTTTGCACGTTTCCATGCCAGCCGATTGTAGTATTGAGATAGCATATTGTTTTTGATCCAAGAAATAGGATTGCTCTATTTTGGTGACTTGAATTCCCAGGAAGAGGGAAACAGGGCCGAGAGTTTTGAGATGGAATTGTTGCTTAAGGTTGGATAGAAGAGAGGAGATATGATTGGAGTTGTTTCCGGTGATGAGAATATCATCAACATAGAGAATAAGATATGTATGTGTGGTTTGATTATGATAAAGAAAAAGAGATGGATCGGATTGACTTATAGTGAATTGCTGAGTGAGAAGGAAGGAAGAGAATGTGTGGTACCATTGACGAGGAGCTTGGCGCAAGCCGTAGATGTCTTTATGTAATTTGCAGACGTGATTTGGATGAGAGGGGTCGGTGAACCCGGGAGGTTGCTTCATGAACACGGTTTCATGAAGGGATCCGTGGAGAAAGGCATTTGATATGTCGCATTGTGTGATAGACCAGTGATGATGAAGTGCTATGGTTAGGAGGAGCCTGATGGTCAGCATTTTGGCCACGGGACTGAAGGTTTCGTGGAAGTTGATACCGAATTGTTGGGAGTATCCTTGGGCTACTAGCCTCGCTTTATAGCGATCGATGGTGCCATCGGGTTTGAGTTTGAGACGATATGTCCATTTGCAGCCTAAAATGGGTTGGTTTGGTGGAGGAGTGATGAGATCCCAGGTGCCTTGATTTTGTAAGGCATGAAATTCTGAAGACATGGCTGCTCTCCAATTTGGATCTTTATTGGCTTGAGTGAAGGTGGATGGAGTGCTGATATTAGTTTGGGTGGCTGAGAGAGTGAAAATTTGTTTTGGTTTCAGATTGCCGGTCTTAAATCTGGTAAGCATGGGGTGATGGGTTGGACTGGGAAGGGATTCTATCGGTGGTGTGGGTATAGGTGCTGAGAGATGTGAGGATTTGTTAGAGGAGGAGTGGCTTGTAGACATATGTGAGGGAGGTGTGTGAGCTGGGTGATCGGGTAGTTGAGCAGTGGGTGAAGGTGGAGTTTGTATGGATGTGGGAGTAAGGAGTAGGGGTGATACCGAGGTAGAGGTGGGTTTGCTGAGTTGTGTAGTTGAAGTTTTGACATAGGGAAATTGATCTTCATAGAAAATTACATGGCGCGAGATGATAATTGTTTTGGTGGCTGGGTTATAACAGCGATATTTGTTTGAGCTGTTAGAGTAACCGAGGAAGGTACATGGTGCTGAGCGTGGTGAAAGTTTGTTGCTGGAGAGTGGTTGGAGCCACGGGAAGCAGAGGCACCCGAAAATTTTGAGGTGGTGGTAGTTTGGTTGTTTTGAGGTTAGTAGTTGATAGGGGGATTTGAGAGAAGTATTTTTGGATGGAAGACGATTTATTAGGAAGACGGACGTGAGAAGGGCATCAGTTCAGAAGGTGAGAGGGAGATGGGCTTCATGTAGTAGAGCTCGGGTCGTTTCCAGGATATGTCTGTGTTTGCGTTCAGAGACGCCGTTTTGTTCTGTGGTGTATGGACATGTTAATTGGTGAATGATACGTTCGGTGGCGAGAAGATTTTTGAATGATGCTGAAGTGTATTCGCCTCCATTATCCGATCGAAAGTATTTTACGTTAGTGTTGAATTGATTTTTTATCATTTGGAGAAAGTGAACAAATTTGTGATATGTCTCCGATTTGGAGTGCATTAGATAGAGCCAGGAGAATTTAGAATAATCATCTATAAAGAGGACATAATATTTGAAGCCATTAGAAGATGGGATGGGGGAGGGCCCCCATACATCGCTATATATTAGTGAAAAAGGTGTAGTTACAGATTTTTGAAGAGGCTTGAACGAAAGTTTGTGGCTCTTGGCCACATTACAAGAGACGCAACAAAATGTATGCACTGGTGCATTCAGATTAAGTGATTTCATGACAGATTTAGTTACAAAATTGTGAGAGTGTCCTAAACGAGAATGCCATAATTTGCTGGAGGCAGTGCGAGCAGTGAGAGCAGTGGTTTTGTTGGCCAAAATTGGTGGTGGAATGACGATTGGGTAGAGACCGTGGGAGCTCCGACCGTTGAGAAGAACTTCACGGGTGGTCAGGTCCTTTATACGGTATCCATGGGAATCAAACAAAACAGAGCATTTGTTATCTTTTGTGAGTTGATGTATAGAGAGTAGATTATGAGAGATATGAGGAACATGAAGAATTTTTTTGAGGTGAAGCTTACGATGAGATGTGGGCGTGGGAAGAAGTCCGTCTCCTGTGCTATATATCGGGAGGGTGGACCCGTCGCCAATGGAGACCACGTCGGAACCAGCGTAAGTTTTTGGTTGCTTGAGCTGGGTCGCGTCTGCAGTGATGTGAGCTGTAGCGCCTGAGTCCAGATACCAGTCTGGCGATGTGGGAGAGGTGCCGGAGTAGAGAGCTTTGGCCGGCGAGGCAGCTGGTGGGGTATAGGTAAGATCTGATCGGTGCCAGCAATGGAGGGCAGAGTAACCAGACTTTCCGCAAATTTGACAGAAGACGCGTTGATATGGTGTTGGTTTTCCTCTTCCACGATTCATTGGTGGTGTGGATCGATGCGACTGTGAGTTGTCGCTGTAGCTTCGGCCGCGGTCGCGATAGGAGGAGTTGCGACCTCTGGTTGCTGTGTATGCCACAGTTGGTGTATCTGCCGATGTTAGCTTGAGATGCTATGTCATTAAGTTGATTTCTTCACTGCATAGGAGAGAATAGAGTTCATCAAGGCTAATGGGCTCAGATCTGGTTTGTATGGCTGTTTTGAAGGACTGGTAGGATGGTAATAAGCCATTGAGTATGTAGAAGATGATATCTTCTTGATCGATTGCAGAGCCTGCAGCAGAGATGTTGTCTACTATTGTTTTGATGTGGTTAAGGTGTTGAGACATGGAGAGGTCTTTCATGGAGACGTTGTACAGCTCGTTTTTGAGTTGGATGACGCGGCTGCGGTTGGAGGGCTGAAGGCGCTTCTCGAGTGTGAGCCAAATCTCGTGACAGGTTGAGAGATTGAGAATGTATGGTAGTATGGGGGCTGTGATGGTGGAGCATAAAGCTGATGCGAGGTTTTGGTCGAGAAACGACCATGAAGCGTACAGAGGGTTCGGGATGATGCCTGAGGCGGTGGAGGGAATGTATTCCGGTGGGCATTTTGAGGTGCCGGTGAGATGGCCGTCGAATCAATTGGCTGAGAAGATTTTGAGAGTTTGAAGCCTCCAGATGGGGTAGTTGTCGGAGCTGAGGTGAATGTGAATGATGTTTTTGAGGTTAGAAATCAGGAACTTCAGGGCGGGCGGAATGGTGGTCTCGGTGATCATCGGACTTTGATGCGGGGAGCTGGCCTGAGCATTATCGGAAGTTATATTTTTTATAATTTCCTCTATATTTTATTATTCTATCATTGTATTGCATTTTAATTCTTTTATGGGTGTCATTACTTTCAGATCTTAAATAATAATAATGATGACTAATTCATTCTTCTTCGATATCTTTTCGATCAACAAATAGCAATTGTTAGATCCAAACATGCTCGTAGTTGACAACAGAATTTTACTAATAATATGGAAAGTGAAAGATAAAAAGAGAAGAGTGAGGTAGCGTAGAGAGAGAAACTCTAGGATTTCACTATATTACTTAGAAAGTACAACATTATCTACATATGATTTGGTGTCCCCTACCCTGGACAAATTATTCTGTGCGTACACCGGACGCCGTCCAGAGGCCAACCAGAACGCGCCACATCACTTTTTGCTCGGTACCAGTGCTTGGTATCGCTGTGTACCGAGTGATGTGGCTCATTCTGGTTGGTCTTGGTCCGTCCGGTGTCTGCACATAATAATTTCTCCTTTGAACACTTATTTATAGGTTTAGTCAAGTATTTAAAGTAATCTAGCTAACATGTAGCTTATAAAATTACATTAAGAACTCATAACAAGTTCAAGTGAAGGACTAGTTCTAAAGAAGTCTCCATTTACCTCACTATGAGCCGGGTAGCAGCTTTAAGACATGGGCTAGGTCATTTGGTGATTTGGGCTAGTAGCCACGATGACTTCAAATGATCTTGGTGCATAATGAGAGTTTTGTTGAGTATGGAAATACTGTGTCAAAAAGCTTTGAAAAATTGAACCCACTGTCGAGATCATCATATCCTTAAGCAACTTATACTTATCATATGTATTATTAACTGACCGACTTGTTTTGAGCTAGGTTTTAGTGATCAACAATACCTGACTATCAGCCTAGGCAGCATTGGGCTTACAATAGCATACTCTAGATTTAAATCATGAGAAAGTCCAACTTAATCATTTCTACATAACTGAAACCCTTATTATAATCTAATTTATGAAAAAATAATTATAACTTACAGACTTACGCTATTTCCATTTCTCATCTTGCTTGGTATTCCAGACCGCCCATTGACCACCACATTGTAGCGGCTTTAGGAGATCAACAATCAATGGAAATTCTAACAAAAAAGCAAAAAACAATCCAACAACAGTCCTACATACCCAGGAATAGGAACTATGAACGGTTCCCTTTTCTGGATGTAGACGATCGAAAACATGGCAAGATGGGGACATGGCGGAGAAATGAAGAAAAAGGAGGCTGAAACTACCCCCAAGATCCACAAGAATAAAGAAGAGAAACAAAATGGACTAATTACTTTAGAGGTGACGATATGACAACCACGCCTCTGGGGAGGAATGACGACGGTCTTTTGGGCCCACTTTACCGACGGAATCGCCCTCGAGCTCGAGGTGGAGCTGGAAGCGTCAGGTAAGGTCGAGAGATCTGCGGCGACAGAGTTGCGCTGCGCCCTAACACAGTGGTATGGTAGCGGCCGACGAGAAATGGATGGCGTTGCGAAGAACGCCGCGGTGGCCTGCATCGCGCCCTGGACTGCAGACGAGGTCGAGTGGTTACTGATACTGGGAAGGGTGAGGCCTAAGAGCAAAAGTTTAATATTTGTCTCCCTTTTGATGGCTGCTCGGGCTTTATATTTGCGGTTGTGGTTGCTTGGTTAGCTCACGGCTGTTGCGCTTGCTGTAAAGTTTTGCTAGCCATCTAAAGCTAATTATTAAGGCTTCGTTTGGGACGGCTTTTTTATTGCTTTCTAAAACGGAGTTTTAGTACAAAAATAAAAAAAAAATTGTACTAAAACTCCGTTTTATAAAGCAATAAAAAAGCAGTCCCAAACGAAGCCTAAAAGTAGGGGATTTTTCATTAAAGTTTTGCTAGCCATCTAATAAAGCTAATTAAGGCTTCGTTTGGGACGGCTTTTTTATTGCTTTCTAAAACGGAGTTTTAGTACAAAAATAAAAAAAAAATTGTACTAAAACTCCGTTTTATAAAGCAATAAAAAAGCAGTCCCAAACGAAGCCTAAAAGTAGGGGATTTTTCATATGCAGCTTTAAAATGATTTTTATTTATTTATAAAATTTAAAATTCAATTATTTTTTTTATAATGGATTAGGGCTGTCAATATTTGACATGATCCAAAAATCTGACTTAAATCCAACCATACTATAGGAATTTGTCGTTCGTTCGTCCTCCATGCTTTGTTCGACGTCAGCCATCCTCCAGGCTCCGTTCGTGTCAGCCATCCTCATCAAGTAGCCTCCATCCGCCATTTTTCCGCCTTTGCCATTGCCGCCTCCTTTTCTGCCTCGTCGTCGCCGCTCGGCTCGTTTCCGTCGTTCACTCATTCCCCAATCCAGGCTCTCGTCATCACTGTTGATTGTTGAACGCCAAAGAGCTGGGTCATGTCAGGTTGACCCAGATCCGAGGCGGGTTGGATTCGGGTCTAAAAATCTAATCCATTTGCAAAAATGAGTAGTGTCAAATAGAAGCAAGTCACTATCGGGTTCGACTTGAACCCGAGTTGCAATCCATTTTTACAACCTTAAATGGATTATCTAAATCGAATGAAGTAATAATAAAATTTGTTGTTCACATTTTTTAGCTTTCCTTAAAATTTTAGTAAATTGATCATATCATATATAAACAAATGAATTTAATAGTCTTTTTTTAAATGATATTAACTTCATAACTAGTCAAAACCAATATTATTGAACTATTTTAAGCTATTTACATAAGAGTAAGCAGCTGATTTATGAGAGTTTAACATTCAAATAAATTAATCACTTCAAGTTTGGTCGTCTAAATTAAATTCAAAGAAATTAAAATTTTCAAGCAAGTGAGTTACGAAAGATATGACTCGATAACCTGTGTGGGAATGGAGGGACAGAGGACAAAACTCTGTAGAAAATATAGGCTTTTTGTAGCGCTCATATCCTCCTAAATAAGGGAAATTATCAGGTCCAGACACCGGACCAAAATTTGCGTCCGGATTGCCTGCGCTTTTAATGCGATTTTGATGTATTTTTTTGCAAAATGGTACCTAATACATATTTTTAATTGTATATTAGATGCCCTTTTGTTGTCCTTTTATTGAGTATTTAAAAAGCGCAGCAAATACTCAATGAGTATGATGTTTGTTGAGTTTTTGCTTTATTTTTACAAATATTCAATAAAAAATAGCTAATATGCAATTAAAATTATGTATTAGGTGTCCTTTTGCAAAAAATGCATCAAAGGCGTAGTAAAAGTGCATGAAAAGTGCACCAATCCAGACACAAATTTAGATTCGGTGACTGGACCTAATAATTTGCCCCTAAATAAAGGGTTAATATAAACAAATGGATTGGTGGATGATGCTAGCCACATATATCTTCTTTTATATGGGTGGTTCAACTCCCTAATTATTCTTTTAAAAAAATAAATAAGGTTTTTTTTATTATTTTTTAACATTATTTTTATATTATTGAAGAGCAAATATCCATTTATCCCTAGTTAGCTGGTCTCTTTTTTCCTACCCAACAAGTTACCATGCTTTAATTTCCCTCCCCTTTTGCTAAGGCCTTTTGCCTTGTTATAAGATAGTGCATTTGCTTAATGATTGTGTTTATGCTCTTTAATAATTAGTTAAAAGTCATTAATGTAGATGCTTTTAAAAAAGCCAAAACCATTATAAGTAATATTAATTGCATTAATTTTTATATGAATATGTAGATCTTTTATATGTAAAGAGATTATTATTATTGTATAAGATATTTCTAAGAAGATGTGGTTTACAACCCTCTAAGGGGAGATTAATATTAAAATAATTTAGCCTATGATTTTAAATTATATCATGATGCTATCTACATTGCCGGTAATCATGTATTAAAAAAAAACAAAATACAATTGTGCTAATTGTCTTTTTATTTTAAAAAAATACTATTAAAAAATATTGTTATATCTCATTAGGGGTGTCAATTTCGGGTCATAGGTCGGGTTCGGGTCGAACCTGGAAATGACCCGGCACAATTTAGGTCAACCCGAACCCGACCTGCTTTTACAAACAGGTTGATTTTCTGGACCCGAACCGACCCGCTTTGGGTTCGGGTCAACCCGACCCTACCCGGAGACACAACAACCCCGTGAGCAAATTTGCCGCAGTTGCGTCCGGCGGCTTCAGCAGCATCGACGGTCCTTCAGCCGGTGTCCGGCGGCAGTGGAACGCGACAGCGGTCACGCGCGACGTGACAGCGGGGCCAGCTTGTGATGCCCCAAGATCTAACTTGGAAAGAATGTCAATCTATTTCTCAAACAATTTATCAGAGTTATCTACAACTTTCAATTAACAGTCTATCAAACATCTATAAAATTTAAAACATCAATATACAAGTCGATTCATATCTTGGAACGCGACAGCGGGGGGCAGGGCAGCTCGGTCACGCGCGGGGCTAGCAGGTCAGCGGAGCTCAACGGAAGGCAGCTCGATCATGCGGGGGGCAGCTCGATCAGCCGGCCAATCCGGGTTATTTTCGGGTTTCTGGGTCAACCCTAATCAAACCCGATTTTTGAAACGGGTCGAAAACTCTAACACGAACCCGACCTATTTCGGGTTCGAGTTGACCCGAACCCGAAATTTTCTTGTCCGATTCAAGTCAAATTTTCGGATTGTGTTAAATATTGACACCCCTATATTTCATTGTCTAAGGTTAGAATAACTATCATATATTTTTATTAACGTTCACTTTAAATTTTCAAAGTAAACAAAATACTGCCGTCTTCCTTTCTTGCATATTGTATAAACCCAATTTCGCCTATATACACTCTTATCATTCAATAATATTATATAAGAAAGATGTTCCCTATTTAATAAAGTAGAAATATAAATCAAAGGGAGACTAACCCCTTTGATGGATTGATGGATATGGTTATTGCATATCATAATCAAATATGTTTCTAAGTATATCTCTATCCTCATAAATAAGAATATTCTGTTATTTATTTTATTCTATAGTATTCACCTACTTTGCTTATGAATAGATACTCTTTTATAAGCTAAAATTTTTTTTTTCTTCAACAATCTAAAAATATAAATCAAAGTAAGACTAACTCTTATGATGCGTATGACAAATGAATTTTATTGATTGATTATGTTATGATTATATAGCGACACGTAGGTGTTTTGATTGTTAACTTGCTTGATTGTATATCTCTTACTATCAAAAAATAGGATTATTGCAGCACAATTTTTCGCTTATCCCGAAGATTATAATAGCCACAACTTTCTTTGCAGCTCCCGTTGTAATTGCTATGCGTTGCAACGACACTCTGCAGTGGTTTAAGAATCGATGAGGTATCTTTTAGGAGGTAGAGTAAATTTTACTTTTATGTAAAAAATAATTGTAACACAATCTTACTAGATTGGTGAAGGTCTAAAATAACAATAAATACATGCAGAAATATAATGCGGGGAGAAATTTGCTCGCTTAACTTGCATGTAAGGACAAAATCATTAGTTATAACATACTATAGAGCTTTAATTTTAATTATCACATAATAAATTAGTAATAAGAATTTAATAATTGGAAAATGCTATATCTGGATTTGGATGTTTACCTGTGGAGCTATTCGTAGGAAACTACGCAATTTCATTACTTGTTAAGCAAACCTCTTTACCCTCTATGTTCTTTGCTGTAGTTAAATTTCCCCATAAATGTATTCAACGTGTGGCAAGTGTCTTTGCTTGATGGAGCATCCTTGATTCACCCCACACCCTGCTAAGGTCGAATTGTATGATTAGTTTGGGCGAGTGTCTAAAGGGTCTCCTTTTGAGGACAAGTTTCTTCGTCACGATCTGATCACTACCTATTAATTCACATGCGAAAGTAATATGTATTTTTTGAAAGAATTTTTGGCTTAATATCATATTTTTGAAAAACTTACAATGCATGACCACTCCCATGATGTAAGGTAGGCCTCCCTTCAAGACATTGTATTAAATCAATCATAATTTCAATCTTCATTTTGCTAAATTTTGTCGTCTTTTTGTTATATAAAAGTATATATAGTATGTAAATTTAGTCAAGATTGTAAACTAAACAATTATCCCTCTACTAAAATTTCTTGCTTTGAGTTACACGTAATTTGGAGTAAAAATTATGTTTAAAGCCGGCTTTAAAAACTATGTCTCAAAATCTACGTGTATGATTTATATGTGAATTTTTCTTAATCAGTTGAAAAAAAAAAGTTTTAAACATCGTGAAATTTTTTTGAATTTGCAATGGGAGGCCTTATTGGAACCCAAAAGAGTTAAATTTAAACCCAAAACATAGAAAATTTCCTCCTTACCTTCCTCTGCCCAACTTTCCTCTGAGAACAACCCTTCTAAGAGCTCCAATTTCAACAATGATTCGGCCAATGAATTTCACAGCCCAAAAAACACAAGGAGCAAGCAAGCCAAAAAGGCAAACAATCCCAAACATAAACATAAATGACCCTTCCTCGTATGGCTTCTTGGAACATTAGAGGGTTCAATGATGCCTCTAAAGTTTTATCGTGCAAGTCTTTGGTTAATAAATTTAAGCTAGATATGTTGTTTATCTTGGAAGCAAAAATTACTGCGACTGCGGTGCTTGATGA